CGGGCATCCATAGGCGCCCGCGCGGAAAAAATTGTTTGCCCCCGCCCTTTTTCCTCCTCTCCCACGCATCTCCTACCATGCTATCCTAACCTGCCTTGTTCGAATATATAACAGCTGCAGTACGAGTATCATCCAGCCTGCCCATCGATCATTTCGGAATATTCCGATAATGGACTGACTCGATTCACCCATATACCGCTGTTAACCATCCGAGATTAGCATTCATATTTTCTTCCATTTAAATCTTCTCATTTTATAACGATTAACAATTGGTTAGGGTGGGTTAGGAATAGGTTACAACGGGTTAGGATGGGTTACCAGTAAGTTAGCATAGATTAAAACAGGTTACCACGGGTTAGGATGAATTACCTGTCCATTCAGGTACAGGATGTTGAAACCAAAAGGGATCAACGGAGGACGTCATTTTAAAACGAAACTTCCTTTTCCATTTTCTCCTATGCCGCGTAGTTTCCGAGTTACGCGCCTCCAAAGAACCGACCAATCAGAGCGCAGCATTCTTATTTCCGCTGTACCTCCGGAACCACGGATCGTAGAAAAGAACGGTAACCTGGCGACTTTCGCCCAACATTTTCTGTTACCAATCGATACCTTTTATTCGCGCTTCGTTGCTCCGTCCTGTCTGAGGCTAGCAATATAGTCGCAAAGCTCAGCAACAGATGTCACCTTGATTATACTGCCCTCGATCGAGAACTGAGCTTGACATCATTCACGCTTTCTTTCCTACCTGTTCCTTGCGGCAAAGGCGCAATGGATACTCCATTGAGTGGTCGATTTTTCTCGGTCTACTCCAACAGCCTGGTATTTCTCCGATTTTAAAGGAAAGTATGAAAAGCTTGTAATACTTGCCTTTGAGATACTGCGGTTCTTCCGGTTTGGCGGTCCAGAAGAACGTTTCGCGAAGGTTCTGCATTTTCGCCGCGGCCACGTGTTTCCAACTTGTGACAATTTATACGATTTTGTTAAAAGGCCAAAGTAATATTTGGCTGGAAATGCTTTTTTAATGAAGCCGCCGAATTTTTTGGTTTCCTTGGTTTTTCAAGACAAATCTGAGGTTAACGGATGCACACGTCTTTATACCTTTCTTATTCGGAAGGTTCTAAAATTGTCATTGAATCCATTGACTCTTTGTTAAAAGTATGGAATATTAAGCCATAATGACAGAGTTTGTAGACGGATGGATTCTTGGCCACACTTTGGGGGAAGGTGCTTATGGAGAGTAAGTTTTATGTTTTTCGTTCATTGTTGAAAGAGCATTATTATTGATCATTAAACGCCTTCCTTCATATTTCCGTTATTCGTATCATCTACTGCACCGTCGTTGGAATATATCGCATTGTTATATTGATATAATTAAATAACGTTCTTGGCGATAGATTGTCTAAATGTAATAATTCCTTTCGTCGTACTATCGTTCTTTTTATATGGTTGACTGCTGATTTCGAAACAATTTGGTTGCAGAGTTAAGCTTGTTATAAACAAAACTACCCGTGAAGCTGTTGCTATGAAAATGATAGATTTAGTTAAGCATCCAGACGCTCGGCTAAGCGTCCGTAAAGAGACCGTAATACATAGGATGTTGTCGAATCCTAATATTATTCAATACTTTGGGCAACGTAGCGAGCTTACCATGGAATACATATTTTTGGAGTATGCATCGGGTGGAGAACTATTTGATCGAATCGGTAAGACGTGTCATCTTTGATCCGAACGACGATGAAAAGAAAATAGTTTAATCTATGCGGATAAAATACTTCTTATTATATAAATGTTTATTATTTCATGACAGAACCTGATGTAGGAATGCCTACCTGGGAAGCACAAAAGTATTTCAAACAATTAATATCTGCCGTTGAATACCTTCATGGCAGAGGTGTAGCGCATAGGGATCTTAAGCCAGAGAACTTACTTTTAGATGAGAATGATAATTTAAAAGTAACAGATTTTGGACTGGCAACGATATATAGGTTACAGGGCAAAGAGCGTTGTTTGGATAAAAGATGTGGAACATTGCCATACGTAGCTCCTGAAGTTCTTACAAGGCCGTATCATGCCGAACCAGCTGATATATGGTCTTGTGGCATCGTACTCGTAGCATTGTTAGCTGGAGGTAACGATTTCCATGACCCACGTTAAACTGCCTAATTAATTACACGTTTCGTCTTTTTAATCGTTCACTCCTTTGGGAACAAAATTGTGTGGCTTCTACTTTCTCATAAACTAAAAATACTCTACGTATCGGTACACCAGTTGTATCGCAAACGATATTTTATTACAATTATTCAAATGGTACGAGTGACGATGGATTATGGTTCGTTATTGATAGCAGTAAAACCTGTTGATCTATTAAAGTGTTTAAATTTTGTTTTAACGTTATGCATACATATTTGTCGGCAACGTAATTGTTGGCTCTTAATGATAAAATTCTAATCTAATGTAACTTACATCCTTTAGTTTCTAACTGGTCCGTATCTAAAATATAGAGCTGCCTTGGGATCAGTCCTCGGCAGAGTGTCCAGAGTATGTTGCATGGAGAGAAGGAAAGTACGCATCTTTAACGCCATGGAAGAAATTGAAAGACTCCTCCTTGGCACTGATTGGAAGGATTTTGGTCCACTTACCGTCATCTAGGTACACGATAACGGATATTAAGCAACACCCTTGGTTCCTCAAAAAGCTGCAGAAAGGTACGGAACCTTTTTCCTCGTTCTTTATGGATAGTTACGAAATGTAAGATGTACCGGTTCTACAGAAATATTATTTTATATCAGTCTACTAAATCATATAACGAATAACGTCAACACGGCACATTTAATGTTTGCGTAGTCAGGTACTGAGTGACTCTGAGTCAAAGTTAAATACTCAAAGGAACTCGGTACCCAATTATGCATACATTGATAACAACAAAGTGCAGATGCTTAAAGCTTCCGGCGTAAGTAACTTACACGATTTAATGTCTTTTTTTTATACTTCGTACTTTCCAGCTTCATGGGCTTTTAATTCCAGTAGCAGACCTTTATGATTTAGACACTGAATACATCATGGGAAGATTCGAAAGCTCTTGCCTTTTCTTTGGTAATACAGCTCTATGATTTCAATTAAGGATCATAAAGCTAGATTACCAAAGCAAAGAACACTGGCTCAAACATCCAAATGGGACTGCAAGAATAGAGTACCAGGCTTCGCTATAAAAGAGAATTCTAATTTTACTGCTGTCCTGTCTTTGGTTATCTAGCTGTATGACTCGTTTTACTTCATAAAGCTAGATTACCGAAGTGAGGACGACAGTTTTCATCCCCTACCGACGATCTTGTCTATTGTAGTATTATTTATACTTATCTTAAGAAGAAATATCATCTTACTGATTTTTAATGTGTGACTGCGTTTAGTTCATAATTGGTTTAGAGAAATTTAATTTATGAACAACTCACATGGAGTATTTTGTCAAGATCAAAGCATATGACATTGGAAAAAGATGAAAATTTAACGAGCTGAATCTTTTGTTATTCCTTGACAAGATAATTTTCTAACTTTCAGTGGACGGCCTAGCAGGACGTGATCAAATCGATGGATTCGATTTGAAGAGAATGCATTATGACCACCAAGATTTGAAGAGATTGTGTCTATCGCAACCTGAGTTGCCTGGAATGGAAAATATTAATTATCAACGGATCAATTTTGTAGAGCGACCAGCCTTTTGTTTTTCGCAACCTGCTCATATGGAAGATCTTTTACTTTCTTCGCAATTGCATGCTACGCAACATACTCAATCGACTCAGGTATTTCTTCCTCTTCTCCAACATACATCGAAACTTATTCTGATGGACTTAAAACAGTTTTGTGCCAAAAGAAAAAAAGAAAAATCTTGTCCACTATTATTCACCGTGCTAATTCAGTATTGCTTTATTTACCTTTTTTATTTTTTTTTCAGAATAATTTCCAAAAATTAGTTCGTCGAATGACTAGATTCTTTGTGAAAACCGAATGTGAGATGACATTGAAGAAACTAATAAATTGCTTGAAACGTCAAAGCTACGCTTATAAAATCAACGACTTTGGTATTGTGAGTATTTAACAAGTATTTCTTCATACGACGTAACATTTATCGATACTGACACGATCAATTTATTTTGTTCTTAGATTACCGTATCAACCGTAGATCGTAGGAAAATGCCATTGGTATTTAAAGTTAACATCGTTGAAATGGACGGAAAGATATTGGTTGATTTTAGACTATCCAAGGGATGTGGTTTAGAGTTTAAAAGACGATTTGTAAAAATCAAGAGTAACCTCGATGATATTGTTTTAAAGGGACCTGTTATGTGACGTATCGGTATTCCGATTAGATTTGTAATTTGTTATATTGCTACAATTTGTAATTATTCCTTAACAAATATACATTTTATGTATCCTGAACGTTGGGGTGTTTGTTGTAAATAGTTGTATTGCTGTAAGGAATTGACAGGTATGTTATAAATATTATATCAAACAGGTTTACCTTATAAAATAAAGGAATTTATATATTTTTTTAATAGGACTGTACTGTGATGCTGTCTGAATGGATTATTTAAAGTCCACTCAAAATTCAAAATCGCGTTTATTCTTAATATTTCGTTCGTCACTGAACAGAACATTACCACTTCGGTGAACGCTAATTTTATACATAGGACCATTGTACCGTTACAAATTTCTTTGATTGGAATTATAAGGATTCCCTGAAACTTGCCTCCGTCATAACATAGGAATACGTATTTTTACTGAACTGATATTTTTATAATTTATTCTATTAGTAATACGCAATGTCTATAACTTATACTTCTATTCGTACAATCTGATACCTAAATCAAGTGAAAAAAAACCTTGCAACTATTATTAATTATATGCGTGTTCACTTCAAATAATCAAAGTATCTATTCAAAGCAACCATTTACAGTCGTTCTAGGCGAATAAAATGAATCTCTAGTTAGCGCTTATGATCTAGTGATTCTTTCAAATTCATTGTAAAAATAACTGAGTATCGGTAACATATACATGAAACTTAAATTAGTGCACTCTTGACATAGAAATTGCAAGTAATTATGTATACCGGAATTTCTCGATTTGTTTTCTGAAACAAATCATGCAAAGAGAATATTGCATTTTTACAAGCAAATGTATTAACTTTAAAGTATTTTTAAGCACTTTAATTTCTATACGATAAATTTGCACGCGATCAACTATCTTGCTTCCTTTTCTATTTTTGTTTTTATACACATGCTAAATCAAGACACGGAGTCTGTTAAGTTTTACAATTAATTTTGTTCCCCCTTTACAATATATTGAGCGTTTTTGGTCCTTCACTTCTTGAATCTACCGTAAACACCCAAATGTGACACTAAATATCGTTACACTAACAGTGTGGGAAGTGGTTTCTTCCCAGGCCATGCTTCCTTAGCATATTTTTTCTTTTTTGGTTCCATTGCATGTGTTTCCGGGGGACCCGATATATCTGGTGTGTGTGTCACTTCCGTTTGCATTTGATTAGGTGTCATTTCAACCTCTGGAGCAGGATTGGGAAGCGCTATTCCAAGACGAGAGGTCAATGAAGTCAGTGCTGCAGAGAAAGGATTATTTGAAAGCGTAGATGGTGTAAATTGTTCCGGTGGTAAATCATGATAAAGGTGCGGTGTCGTTGAGGTAGGTTGCAAATGTTTCAGAGGATTATGAGAATCTTCCGACAAAGATATCAAGCCACCCTCCATTCGCATTCTCTGAAATATTAATCATACATGTAATATAACTGTAACACGAGTTATTTAAATATTTCATTTGAAAACAACACAAAGTCAGGTAAATTTTTCTGATCTAAGAACTAAATTAAATGTCATTTGCCCAACCATAATCTGTACCTTGCTAGGAACTACAGTTGTTTGTACAAGATTGCGGAATCTACCAACCGATGGATCAACATCTTCAGGATTAATGACTTCTTCGTCGTCATTGAACGTTATACCTTTTTTTTTCCTTTTTCTCGATGGTTTGTGTACATCGTCATCTGTTATACCAAGCATAGAGATACGTCTATTATGTGCCGTGTTGAATTCGGTTAGATTCTGAAAATGGTTCATTATTTATAATTCCACTGGGCTTTATATAATAACTTCTTGTAATATTGTCTTTTCTGAGCACCAGAATATTATGCTTACATCAAGTTCTGTTTCAGTTTCGGGTAAACCTAATAGACCACCTGCTTCGTTATCTTCCGATGATTTTTCGAGCTCTTCGATGATTGCCCTTGTCCCACTTTGTGGTCTTTCCCGAATTATGTAGTATCGAGTAGATGCTCCAAAGTGAAACGTACTGTCAATCGGTAATTGCGTTGGCTTGTGGGCTTCGAGACGCATATTTCCGATGAAGGTTCCATGTGCTGTAAGTGGATTTATGTAAGTGGTCGTAACTTTTCCATAAAGTATTACTAACGTGTTTATCATTATAACTACCGATAATTTTGAAGATAGTTCAATTACAATTTCATATATGGTACGTTATACTTACTGCTGCCCAAATCAACTAAAAATGCTCGATTTAAATGCTTATGATAAACAAGTGCTGCGTGAACTCGTGAGCACGATGCATGATCTATACAGAAATCATTCAGCTGTTGATTACGGCCAAATAAGTAGCATTTTTTCTCATCTACCATCAATTTCTGAAATAATAATTGAGTCATCATTAAAAGCAAGTAAAATATATGTACTAATTTTGAAAATAGCACCCCAATCTTAAGTTTGATGTGCTTTACAAAAAATTAAACCGTTTAACACGTTGAATGACAAAACAAATGACGAGTGTACTATCGCAAGGCGGTTGCCGGTGCCGGTCACCGGTGACCCCCATGGCAGTCATCGTGTTAATAAAGGTGTCCGAACCATGACTTACTTGAATTAACTTATCTCCTTTTAAAACATCCAGGTGTAGACCAACTGGAGGCTTGCCAGCCCTGAAAACATCATTACCAATTTCAGAACTTTGCAATGAGAACAATTGTAATTTGTTTATTTCTTCTGTTAATACCACAATAAAATGACGATAAAGTTAGTGTGTAAAAACCGTAAGAAACCCAGTATTGCATACCAATTAGGCACTTCGTAATGATTTGCCATTACAATTGATATTTTACATTGTCCAAGTGAGTCGAATACATCAACCTAAACTCTTCTTAAATGGAGTGCAAAGTACAGACCGAAGTAGGTTAAAAGTAATACTCCAACCAGTTTAATGTTTACTTTGAAACACAAAACAAACATGGAAATTTACTGCGCGATGGCTAGCATAGAGAACAACGAAAATGTAAGGTTATTTTTAGCCGTCAGACACGGAAATCTTTTGATCGGCAACCATTTTAATGATTTTGATGTGGGAGCAGTTCATTTTATGTGAACACGGACCAAGTATCTCTCATGAGTGAAGCACATCCATTTTTTTCATAGTCCTCGGACGACGCTAGTACTTTTGCAAAACCGGAATGAAGCAGTCACGCGTCGTATCCGACAGAATGTTCGGACTGGAGCGTCCATCGCAAAACGTAGAATAATGTATTTGTAAAATTTCAGTAAAAATTAGTAGTAGGAATGCATACAAGGTCGAGGGCCTCCAATGAATAAATCGATAAACACTTTTATTTATATTTCACAGCCTATATTTCATTTCGGCGAATTGAGAAACGGTCAAAAATTGGTGGCCTAGTTGTTGCAATAGCACGCCTGTTTTTCCTCGCGGCGCAGTAACAAAGGGCATGTCCATGCTAAATGTGGAACAATTTCGGTGCATTGCTGCTAGGTGTCAGGTAACAATCACAAAACATGGGGCATTAGCAGGGCTGAATAAGTATAATACGTCATGTGATATACGTGGTTTTCTACATGTACATTACTTGACGTGTAATACGTCCCTAGTTTTCTACGCAGGCACGAACAGGCACGAAGTATATTACTCCAATTTAAATGTGCAAAGCGCATGCGCAATATCGTCAATAACCAATGAAAATCCACCTATTTACCTCCAGAGATGAGTTGGGAGATTGCTCACGGGCAGGATCGTGC